TCCAAAGACCTTGGCGAGATTACTAATAGGCATCTTGCATTCAGCACTACTCGATACTCTCTGTAAATGTAATATCAAAAAGGCTAAAGTATCTCGATTCGGTTGTGGCAGTTCTGATATTGCTTGATAAAGAGCAGCGTCAGCATCCTGTTTATCCGTCTTTTGTGTCGCACGTATAAAGTCTCCCAACAAACCGACAGTGATCAGCGGTTCACGTAAATTTCTATAAAATATGAATTCAAATATATATGCATATATTGCATCCCCTTTATGTATAGAATATATTTCGGGTGACGTACCTAAGAAAATCTTTTAAGGTAGAACAGATGGTCGTAATATCGATGTTAGAAAGATTTGGGGCACCTTTGCCTTTCAAAAACTTCTCCAGGAGACATTTGACATCTACCTTTGATCCGTTCACTCTGTATAATCCTTGCTCGTTCATTCCGCGTAATTCAACTTCGTTAATGCAGTGAACTACTATGGAAGGTACCATGGGTGGTGTTATAGGTGTGTAATCAGCTATAGTGCCCTATACATAAAAATGGCATTTAGTGAAGATATATTGACGCTAAAATGTTTTGACGTAGAAATTATAATAACGATACTCACAGGTATACCACGTAACGTAGGTGTATTTCCTGTTGGAACACATGGTAGTGGTACTAAACTTTTACACTCGGTATGAGCTGTAGCTCTACAATCTCTACATTTCTGCAGCGTATTTCCAAATCGAATTCTATTAATAAATAAAAAGACATTAAGATTTTTTTTCTTATCCATAGTAAATCTTATGAAATTAATTACAAGCTTTTTAATATGTTCATGTAGTAGTTGAATAACATTACTTTTTCCCACAATGTGTACAGATTTCCGGTCTAAGTATAGTTTTTGCTACAAAATGATGACTTCTAGACATTTTTAAATTCATGGTATAGCCACCAATATTTGGGCTTGGTTTGTAAACATCCTCCGAGTCTGAAGTTGACGTAAGGATATCAGCTTTTGGTGCTGATGGCTAAAAATAAAAAAAAATCGTTCCTTGTATTAATTATGGACATACATTTTAAATGTAAAGTAATTAAATTATATGATTTAGTAACGTACCGCTGTATCAATTGGCATTTTGTTTGGCATTTTGTTTACATCTAAATGCGATAATTTTGATTTGTTGTGTTCTGTACTACTCTTACGTCGTTTGCGTGAATTATGCAGAAGAACCTGGGGATCGGCGTTTTCATCACCGGGTATAGCCTCGATCGTGGATGATGCAGTAATTGTACCATCCTTTGGCATAACTACAGTAGTAGTCGCTACTATTTTATCAGAAGAATTCAATTCTGTAGCTTTGTGCAATGTATTGCGATGAGGTTTCTTGGAATATTCGCCACTAGGGCGATGCTCTTTCCATTCTCGCCTTTTCTGACTTTGTAAAATAGCACTGGTCTCAAAGTCATCATCTGATCTTGATAAACAATTAAGGTCACTCAATAATGAGCCAGTGGAATTCAATTCTGCTATTGGATTAAGCCTAAAATAATATGAATATAATATAACATTGTCATACAATCCAATGTAATTATCAGTCTTTAAGTATAAATTAAGATGCTTATATTTACTTGTCAATCGGTACGTCTTGAATATGTGTGTTACTTTGACGTTGATTCATTGAAGTGTTATTAAGAAATTGTAATTTCTCTCTAGTTTCATGATTTAGATTTTTCCCTCTATCATTAAACAGTAAATCTCTGGCTGTATCAATTTGTTCTTTCTGGAAAAGATGTAAATATGAATAGTTGATTTAAAAAAGTTAAACTATTCTTAAAAATAAAAGAAATATCAGTTACTAAATAATCTCTATGATCTTCGATGTCACGACGTTTACGATTCTCTTCTTCCAAGTTCCTTCTTGCATGACGCAATTTTCTCTCAAGACCTGCAATTTCAGCATGAGCCTTATCCAAAGCTGAATGAAGTCGTTGGCATTCTTGTACTGATGCCAGCCATTTTTGTCTCATCTCCTCTTGATTTAAAGCGAATCGCAGGAATTCTGTACAGAGCAATATTGAAAAACAACATATTTATATCTATAATGTATCTATAATAGATTTACTTTTATAGCTGAATTATGTACACTGTTTTTAAAGTGAAATAGATATACAGGTTTAAAATTCAACTAAAACGAGAAGGAAAGTTTTAGTGCAGTTCACAGTGTAGCAAACAAATTTTATAATTTTAGAAAAATCGACTAAGGTTATCGGAAGAAAATAAACAGTTGCAATAATATCGATCATATATGATCATTAACGAACCTTCTTCGCAGGCCCCATTTATCAAGACGTTTGTACATCTCACCAACTCGTCATAAGTTGCTAAAAGTGACAACGACATCATTCTAATACTTTTTTATTGCTTCTTCTGTGAACTATCACTCTGCTGACATGTTACCGGCCTGTAACACTCAGCAATCCGTAGTGATCAATAGTAATTAGCTCTCCCTGATAGTACACACAAACAGTTCAATAGGTTCAATGAAACGTTCGAGCGGTTGGAGCCATACAGATAACATGGTACGCGTCGCCCGTCGGAGCTTGGAGTTTTGAAAATCGCCCCTTTTCTAACCGTTAAGTTGATAGAGACGACCTCTACCGGAGAAAACGCGAATTATTTCCACCATGATGCTGCCAACCCTTAAGATCTTAATTTTTTTAATCGATCAAATAATTATAATTTTTTTGTTCTGATTGTAGATTATATTGATTATAATTTGATCATTTAGATAAATCTGATTTTAGCAAATTTTATCTTGATTGAATTCTAATTTCTAATTAATTGATATATATATTTTAATAAATTATACATTTTTTACTTGATTTATAAATAAATTCAGATTTTTTTATATCTGATTAAGAGATTTAAATGTACGCGCTTATAATTGTATTAATATAATGAAATTCGGTATATTTTTATTATTCTTCTGATAAATATCTAAACATTTTTTAATAATTATGTGATTCTTAGAACGTGAATATGATAGCGTTGTGTGTACATGAGGAAAGAAAATAAAAAATATGTACAATTATATATAAAATTCGATATATATTAAATCTAGTCAATTTTACATATATTTATATACATTAGAATAGATATTTTACAACTGGTGTGTGCAATTTTAATATCTAACATATACATATATCTAAAAAATTAACAATACAATATATTATAGGACCATATATGTGCGTGTGATAACACAAACTATAGAAATCAAAGCTTTTAAATGGTCTAGCTAAATCTTAATGCTCTGATCTAGCATTAAGATTTAGCTAGATCGTTTAGTCCGGATCTACAATAGGTGTTTTAAGCCTTAAGCCGTAAGAAATTGACCAACTACAGTCAAATGTGAGGAGAATAATTGATTGTGATTCGTCCATTTCTTATGGCTTAAAGCTTAAAAATCTATTGTAGATCCGGGGTTAAAGGCTTTGATTTAAAAAATTAAGCATTTTCATTATTATCATGAATCCAATTTGGCATTCATTACTTCTATAGATATTAAACTTTAATTAGATATATAATAGAAAAACAGAGGGAATAAACAAAGGTTTTTAGAAATTATAAAAATTTCTCTTTTTATCGCTCAAGTTTTAATACCATTTGGAGAGCATAAACTATCTTTTTCAATACATAATGTTTTAAGCTTGGAGAGTACAGAAATAAGCTCTGCCTGTGTATTTGCTATCTTTGCAGCAAGATAGATGGATTCCTGAAAACGCTTCTGACTGTTTTTCAAGTTTTGTGGAACCAATACACCAAACCATTTTATAGGATCTTTTGGTCCATCTGCGTCATCGCTTAATTTTTTAAAACTGATGTCAAAACATGGTTCAGTATCATTATCTTCATTTATTGTTTTAGTTTCCAAATCAAACAAGGATGTTACTGTATCTTTGTTATTTGGAACTTGTAACATACTGATATTTTCTTTTCCACGAATATATTTTGCTTTTGCCAACTCAATGTGGCCATCCTTCAGCAATGTTTCCATTTGAATATTTCCATGAACTTTTTCTTCTATCAATTCTAATTTACGTAACATCAATTCATCAATCTCTTCTGATAAAACATCTACGTTTTTACTCATATTGTAATCTGTAATTATCGCCACAAAAATTTATAACAGTATATGCATGACAAAATTTTATCTGAAAGCAAAATATTGAAGATTATATATAACATGAAACATTATTGATATACAAACATTCATTTATTATTAAAGAAATAAATATAAAAGATATACATAATTTAAAGAAGTACAGCTATTATTAAAAAATACCTAATTTTATCAATATTGGAGGTAAGATAACTAAACTAATTCCCAAAAATACATATTTTACATATTATCTATCTTATATCAAACAACTTACATGTAGGTACATTAATTACTATTTAAAAATTATCGTCTTAACCTATCTTGAAAGTAACGTTCCAAATATCTTGTTTCGTAAACGAATTGAATTTGTTTCTCCAATCTTTTGTATTCCTTGAAAGAGGTTCAACCAAACTCTCACATTACATTTATTACAAATCAAGTGATATTAAGATTATTCTCGACTATTTTCTGCTATTTTCGAGGTATCACTGCACTTGCAGAAACACTTTTATAATAGCAAATGAAATCGTTCCCTCTCACTTCTCTCTCTCGATCTACACCATAGCGTAGCTGGAGATTGCAGATAATTTTATTTATTGTTTTAAGTAAATCGGTTTTAAAGGTCAATTACAAAATCTGGTTCTTTAACAGCTTTTTTTACTTTCGTAGAAAATAAGTAAAAAAAGTATCAAACAAAATTTCTTTTACGAGACAAAATTATAGTAGAGTCTGTATGTTATGTATCTGCACCGACTGCACCACGAATGAGGTGCAAAGTGAATGTGCTTCAGACAAGTATTGCAAAAATTTCAGCAAAATTCGATAAAACTAATTGACTTTTAAACTTTTTAAAAGAAGGTATATAAGATAAAAAAGATTAGGAAGTAAAAATATATTAGAATTTGAATAATGAAGCATTTATAACCTCAAGAGAAGACTAAAGGCGATCAACCGGTGGAAATAAACCCTGTATTTTTTTGAGGAATGTTAACAAGTATCACATAAACATGACTACACCTGTATTAACAAAAAAGCAGCAGAGGCACAGCTTATCAGCTAAAACAGGGCCTATCAGGGGTTTGCGGAATATTTTGGCACAACCTACTAAGAATTTCTGGTATTTTAGATACATGATGTTAATTTTGGAGCATTTTCCATTTGTTTTAATAATTTAATGTAACAGTATTAAACATTTTATTAAAGACGAATATTTGTTTATAAACATTATTGAAGCTAACATTTTACTAAAGATGATTGCAGTTTGTACTTATTTTTGCGAAATGTTTTCTTAGGCCAATTATCAATGTAGATCAATATCCGGAGTTGATGACAAACTTAAATACGTAAGTATGTGATTTAAAACATAAATAATCTTAAAAAATCATTTATAATCATTGTGGAAATGTTTTATAGGATATTACCATCAATAAAGAAATCTAATTGTAAAATCCCTAAGGATATGCTTAAAAACCTAACAAAAAAAGATCGTGCATTAGCTAGGAAAAAAATGTTAGAAGAGACACCTCCAAAACCAGATATATTGTAAGTATCCTTTGCATTATATAGTTGTAAATAGTTTAAAATTTAGCTATTTTATCTGATTTATAAATTTTAGGAAATTCATGGTTATGGGTAATAATGAAGTTACTCGAGCCTTAGAAAAGAATAATGTATGTAGCATCTTATTAGATGCTAATACTGACCCTCTTATACTAATAAAACATATTATTTCTATGGCAGTAAACAAAAAAATACCTATTCTAATGCTGCCCATGTTGAGAACAGTCACAAAAGAAAAGGGATTTCCCTCAAGAGTTCTTGCTTTAAAGGTAACATATTAATATTTTATCATTTTAAACATATTTTTGTAGATATTTTTTTTTAGAGATTTATTATTTCTTACAGCAAGAGGTAATGCAATGTCCAAATAATGTTTGCTATCCAATATACAAATCGATAGCAGAGGCTTTTAAAGACTTTGAATTACCAGAATGCTTGCTTCAATGTTATAAACCAGATGAAGTACCTGATAAAAGTGCAATGTGTAAAGCAGAGAGGATCACAGAAAAGGATTCTGATACAAAGCCAAATATTTCTAAGCCAAAAAAATCTGTTGCAGTATTTGCAGATGTATATAAATACAGATCTTCACGAGACGAAAGAGTTTTCGTACCACCAACAATCAACAAAATTTCTCAAGTCTCTCAAACACTATCAGATAACTTTATTCCTTCAGACAGTGATTTTGATACTGTCAATGATAAAAATTGTACAATTATATCGAAGAATGAGAAATATGTTAATATCGGCAAGGAAGAAAAATATTTATTAACATCCGGAAATACAGAAGAGAATCAGTCTTTTAATGAATTGAAATTAATAAAAAATAAAGTAGATTCAACGAAACAAACAAACATATTAAGTTCTCAAATCTCTAAAAAATCAGATGATTTTATTCCTTTAAGCAGTGATCTTGATTTTGTCATCGAGAAAAATTGTGCAAGTACATCGAAGAATGAGAGATATGTAAATATCGGCAAGGAAAAGAAACGTACACTAAAATCTAAAAATACAGATGAGAATAATCTAAAATATAAGGTAGATTCAACGAAACAAACAAAAAATATATTAAAAAGACTCAGAAATGAACCTGATTATTTATCATTAAAAATAAAATGTACACAAGGAAGTAAGAAACGAAAAAAAGCAACTAAATTTGCTAAGAAAAAAGGATAGCAGCACTTGACAATTTAGTATTAGAATAATTGTTCAGCAAGAACAAAAGATCCGAGTACAATTCTTAGTATTATTCTGCATGCGATACAGGAATTTTGAATGGAAAAATATTCTACTGTGATGAATACAAGAATCAAAAATATAAATTAAATCCTAAGATATAACGTAATATTGGAAATAAAGAATTTGCATCGCCTTGAAAATCCAAATAACAATTACAATTCGTTTTCCAATCGTCTAAGGTGATCAAGTGTAATCATTTTTGTCTTATTTGATGTTAGAAAATTGTCAATAAACATTGTATTTGATACTCAACTAGTTAATAAATAAATTTCAACATTTGAAATTGAAATGTGTTTTAGCTTCAAACATTGGAATTTAGTTGTTAACTCTCTAATTGAGTGTCAAAAATAAATTCTGTATAAAAAGAAAAATAGAACAAAAAATTTGTATAGTAATAAAAATATATTTTAAAGTATCACATTATATACAAGAATTAACCCTACCTTTTTCATTATCAATTTATTTATACTAATAAATAGAATTGTATTTACTAATATAAGTAATACAATACTCAGTTAAAAAATTTTTGCTAATAACAAATTGTAATAAAAATATAGTAACCCCCCATTTTTACGCATATAAATTATACATAATACAATATTAGAGTATTGTATATAAATTGTGTGTTGGATGTATTCAAGTTAGTTTTTCCTGTATTAATTTTAATAACTAGATATTAGATAAATGATAATTCATTTAATATCCATATTTTTTTTAATATAAACTTTATATGATGCTTTAAGAAAAATTTGCAAAAGATGGAGATGTTTTTCTTTTTATTATTATAAAACAGTAAAATATATCCTAAGCATAGTAATATCATCTCTCACACAGGTAAACTTGATTTTACAGACGATCTAAACATTCTGGTAAAGAACATAAGGCCAGTTGTACCTCCTGGTATATGACTTATTAAAAAGGATAATGTGGCTATCAACTGCAAGATAGCACATAATACTGTCAAAGGAGTCGATTGCAAATGCAGAGCAAAGTAAAGTGTGCCTGTTAATGTTGTAAAGTACAATATGGTAAAGTACTTCTTCTCAGCAAAGAATAATGATTTCATATAACTTGATCCCCACAAAAAACAAAAGCTGGAAGAAATCTGTTATTAGAAATATGATATTCTTCTCATATATATATATTCATAGATATATCTTGTATTACTTTTTAAATATTTATATATGTACCTCATTAGAAAGAAGAGACTTCCTAAGGAATAAAGTAGAGCAAATTTTCTTGCTTTAAGTAATAATACGGGAATATAAATCGCTGATAGACAAAAGCATAACAATCCCAGAAGAAAACACACGGCGAAGGATATGAGTCTTTGTGTTCTCGTCTATCAAAGTAAAAAAATGAATCTTTTATATAAAAGTCCAATATTCAAAGTCATTGATATATATTTTATTCAACAAGAATTATAGCATAAAGTTAATTTTCTAATCTACTTAATTTATATTTACCTATTTATACTTTTAAATATATTTATAACAGATTTTTTATTGATAACAATGGATAGTTTTTAACAAATTTACATAAACAAAAGTTGATTGAATTTGATTTCAGTTTCCCTACAGAAATACAAAAATATTTCAAACTACAGAAACGTGAAAAAGATACGATATTACATATATCACAAATAAAGTTAACTTCGACTAAATTCAAATTAATCAGAGATTAATTCAATCAGTAGAATTTATCTGAGCATTGATTTCAACTATATAATTTATCGACCTTAATGTAATTTTTGTCCCACGTTTGTAATAACAAAAAATCGAGTTTTACATTTACAAAATACTACAGATATTTATTTGACAGATTAATCGTTTGATTAAATGAATTTAGAGACGTCTTAAATTTTTAGTGTTTAAGTTTAACATTACTGCTTTGCATTAATATTTTTTGAGTTAATCAGAATTTTTAACATTTTTAGTCAACACCAGTGCAAACATTCGTCAAGTCATTAAGGTTATGAGACAATGCCGTACCATAGCAGGACAACATTCTCTCTGCGATTTTTGGACCCATCCTGCGTTCTCCTCCATCTCGTCGGTACTTTTTCCGAACCATTTGCCAAAGTTCGCTTTCGATATCGCTACCGATGGAATGGCGATTTTATATTGTTTTTCATTTTTGCTACTGAGGAGATATTCGTTCAGCTCCTTATTGAGATCGGCCATTTTGACATGTCGCCGTTGAAATTGTAAACAATGAAAGTTATCGATTGCGAAAAAGAAATCGTTTTTATCGACGATAAATATATGTTTAATCAGCAAACTGTTTTATCGACTACAGCGACTTACTTTATCGATCGTACGCAGTTCATTATTATCCGTCAAGGAGCAGATCGTACAAGATACAAAAATCGATTGGAAACATACAAAAAAAGGCGTTTTTTCTTGGGATACACTGGGTGTAGCATCGCACAGCACCAGTTGAGTGTAAGTGCTACACTCACTAAAGTGGTACACACCATGGTGTATACTACATCGTTATTGCGCTAAAACCCTGTTCCCGCTTGATTTCCATTTTCAAATTTTAAATGTCACACCGGCTGTACACCATCCCTTTGAAACAGTGAAACAGCAAAATCTCACTTTGTGCATAAAATTTGCACTACAACTCCGTAGCCACGGAAACACGGTATACTGTCTGAGTGTCGCACTATAGTAGATAATAGTGTAGCCAAGAGAAAATGCTAAAGATAGCAGACAAATTATACATTTATACGATCTATATTCTACTGGTTTCTATTCTCCATATATTTAGAGTGCGATCCATTTAACGCTTCAAATGCCTTGAAGCTTTTGATTGATCAATAGGAAGAAAGAATTTTACTAATTGATCAGTTAAAATAAATGCTTCGAAGCATTTGTAGCATCAAGTGGCCCTAATCATTCGTAAATTCGATTTTTAGGCATAAATTCGCATTTATATTTCGAACCCGATTGTAAAGAGAGCTTTCCTTTCACTGTTCTGAGCATAAAAGAATATTTTATTTTTACTAGTAATTTTTAATTGCGGCAATCGATTAGATAAATACTCCAAGTTAGAATGTATTATTATCAAGTTTAATTATATCGTATCCCTGTAGTTGTTCACACAATCAACAATTTAATAAAAAAGTTTAAATTTATTAAATTCGTTTTTTCTAAATATAATGCAAATTATGCAAATATATGGTATGTATATTTTGAGTATTATTCAAGTTTAGAGAAAATTATAGAGATATATATGATTACTTATAAAGAGCAGATCGATTAATACGTGAATTGGATGCGAGACGTAAACGACCATTCCGTGGTTCGCGTGAATAAAATACCACGATGGGTTTTCAAACTTACATTTATTTAAACAAATCAACATTGACCTCATATTTACGGATTGTATACTGTATTTGTTGCACAGAGGATGCACCTTTCTATACGCGAGATCTACGCATCTCGCGACGCGTCGTATCGTTTGACAAATCATTACGGTCGATGACAAGGGGGAGGGAAGGAGAGGGGAGAAGGGCCAGGGGAATTGGACTGAGTATTGATAGAATAATTATAACGAGATTAGAAGAGCTAGAACCGGACTAGAAACAAGTTTCACGTTATCACAATGTAATATCGCGTTAGAGAGCATTACTTATAATAATCGTAATAAATATAATAATAATAATAATAATAATGTCATTCGTGTGAAGAGGAATGATACTAATAGGCGCAAACGTAACAATATAGTTCGGGAACTCAGACAACATATCGATCACACCCGAAATACAGTACACACGCTACGAATACCGTTAATAATTCCCAGGTTCCGCTTATCCGTCATATATAGTTTTTTTTTTCTTGTGTCTTTTACCGCTAAATACGTACTGCTCACGGCCGCTTGATCTCTCGATTATACGATACATAGGATGAGACTGCTAATTATTCAACATGAAGATCTCTAAACTTATTCTTACATGCGCCGCGAAACGAATTCACCCTGGGAGGGATTGAGATGCCTGTCAATTGTCAATTGCATACTTAATCGCGAAACTCCGTATATGTAAGCTCAAGGAAAATACAAACGAGCGTAAAGTACCGTGTGGTGAACCATTTGTTCGTTTCAATTTAATTCGCGAGTTTCGACAACGAGTTCTCGTCTCGCCGAATCCATTCGTATAATTCTGTCGTAACGGACCTTCGAAGGATCGAGAAATTCCTTTGAAAAACAGCTTTCAAAGCGAAAAAAAAAAACGATTTGCCAAATCTAATCCTTTATTATCCTCCTTTGCTATACTTACTTGTCGAAGTAGAAAGCAAAAGAAGAGGCATTTGCGAAATCTTTCCTCTCGTTCGCCACATTTTCTTTATGTATACACGGATTTACGCAACTAAGCGTACGTATTCGAGTATGCATGCACTTGTATACATTGTCATTTTCTCTCTCTTTCTCTCATTTCCTCTCACTCCTCTCTCTCTCTCTCTCTCTCTCTCTCTCTCTCTCTCTCACTCTCTCACACTCTTCATACGTATAAGTATGTACGTCTTCTCGTGGACATAAATTCGTGTGTATTTTCATTAACTATATACTTTGGCTTGTCCTCACACCTCACTGCACCTCCGCCTTCTTTAACGCTAATGGCAGCACGGATACAAGTTTGTTTTTATACTGTAATAGCGTCCTCTCAGTGCACACACGTGCCTTATTCATTCTGCTTTATTATTCGAACGAACGCGAGTCCGTGTCGTACATATTACATACACATACACACACACACACACATATATATATATAAGTACGAATATATGTATGTATATGTACACACACACACACACACACAAACATATATATACGCATACACGGTCCATCCGCTGACAGCCGTGCGCGCGAATGGCGGTATAGGCGTCCCTTCGGTTGATAGCGAGTACGCGACGTAGTCTCGTTTCTTTTTTTTTATGCTATGTATAATATCGTACAGTACGTAATAACGCCGTAATAAACTGCTATGTGTACGCACTACGAGAGGGGAGAAAACTATATATATATTTATATATATTTATATTTTATATATATATATATTTTTTATATG